ACGCTTAACCGACTGCGCCACCCAGGCGCCCCACATTTAATTTTTAATAACAGTAATCCTGTCTTAGGATAACGGTATCACATTTTGAGGAATATTCTCCCTATTTTCTAGACTTTTATACATAAATGCATGTTATTTATAAAATGAAATTAATCTATTAACACTGTCCTTTATCTTACTTTTCCCACTTATTAATGTAACAGAAATATATTTCTATGTCAGTCAATAGAGACCTACTTCATCATTGTATATCCTCCCTGTGTCCTTTCAAGGGAAATTACAATTTACCTAACCAGTACCCCAATGCTTAACATTTGAATCCCCCCTTTTTCGTTTTTATAAACTATACTAAAAACCGGGAATTTATAGATATATTACACCTTTGTCTGACATATCTTTAGGAAAACGCTTACACTTAGAATTCTTGGGCAAAAGTGATTTCTCTCTTAAAGCTATGGACAGACATGCATTGCCAAATTCTCTTTTATTCTTCACCCTTAGTGTGTGAAGATTCCCCTCCCCCCATTCATCTGCCAACACTGAGAATTATTAATTTTTCTAATCTTTACCAATCTGATAAATGAACAAGAGTGACACTTGATTACTATTCAGGTTGAACTTTTTTTTCATGTGCTTATAGTTAGATAGTATTTACAGAGATTTTGTGAATAATATGTTGATGTCCCTGGCCCACTTTCCATTAGGATATTTACTTTTTTCTTTCTCATTTGTCAAATATATTTACATATTGATCTGTCATCCTATGCATTAAAATATCTCCCAGCCCACCATGTACCCTTTACTTTTAACTTTGTTAAGGTCCTATTTTCTGTACAACAGTTTTAAATGTTTATGAAGTCAAAGCTATCAGTCTTTTCCTGTCTGATTTCTTATGTGAGCATTTATACCCCGGCTTGTGGTTTTCCTCTGTTCTGCAGCTGGCATGCTGGGGCAGTACAATGTTGGTAACTGCAAAGGTGGTATTTCTCATCCCAGGATGACGGGTCAACAGAGGCGCTACTTTATAGCAGCTGAAAAAATTCTTTGGGATTATGCTCCTCAAGGCTATAACAAATTCAGTGGTCTTCCCCTAAATGCCTCCGGCAGGTAAGCTCTCTTTGCTGGCGTTTCTAAGACTCTCATAAGAGAGGCACCTGTTAGACTTTTCCCTGTGACCTCATTTATATACACAGCCCTTCTCCTATGAGCACATATGCATGGATGGCGTCATGACACCACGTAAGGAGTTCTGAGCCTCGTAATGTACATATTGCTGAGAATTGGCAGAGTATTTATTGTTTCATGATTTGCTGGCTAAATCAAAGCACTAGGTTCATTCATTCATTCATGAAGCATTTCTTGAGCACCTACTGTGTGCAAACTGCAATGCTAAGTGCCATAAGAAGTACTAAGCTGACAGAGAATAGAATAAGGCCTCTGCACATATGGAAGAGAGAGTTTTGAAGAGAGAAGAAGACAGGACCCTCTCTCACTGGAGGTGAACTGGCCAAGGAAAGTTATCCTTTTTGGTTCAAGGACAGCCTGATAGGTTATGACTTCTCTACCCAGAATGTGCTTGTCCTACCTATCCAGCAAAATGTTACTTTTTCTTCAAATTCTAATGTAAATACTTCCTAAGTGAAGTCTTCCCTGACTCCTGAGTCATTAGTAATCATTTTCGCTCCCAGAGCATGTAGTATTTTTCAAATTGAATCTAACAATTCATTAAGTGGATGTGGACTCCTGTGACTTGTTATTATAGAATTCTGTGTAATGGTGTCTGTGAAAGCATTTAAAATATATGGTATGATACAGGAATGATTTTTATTACCCTATGATCTCTTTTATGTTCGAGGGAATGTTTTTAAAATTTTCTTTCTGATTGATAAGACACCCTTTGTTTCTTTCATTGTAATTTTCACTCACTCATTCATTCATTCATTCATTCTTCCACCAAACCAACGCACCTGACCCCAGCCTAAAGAATTTGTGTGAATCATTTATGAACGTGTTCGATATCAAAACTCTCTTTTGACCAGTATTTCTCCATAAACAGAATGAGAATTAGCACTAAGAATTCTGTCTTAGAAGCCTTCCAGAATTCTGAAGCACCTTACAAAATATAAAATATTGAATTATATTTAACTGATATTTAATGTGATATATGAAAGCACAACATAAAAAGCTATGGGAGAGTTGCACGGAGGTGCCTAAGACAGTGTTCCCACCCTCAGGTCGGAAAGAAACTGCATGCACAGGAGAAGAGAAGTAACTTTGCAAGTTACAAATAAGATTAAGATGAGTTGTCCAGACAAGTGAGTTCTCTGGGCATTCAGAGAGCACTAAGATAGCCAGGGAACCCTTCACAGAGTCAATGGAACTTAAGCAGGGTCCTAAAGAATAACAGAATTCATGAAAGTGAATAGTAAAGAGAGAAATTTTATTTTATTTTTAATGTTTATTTTTGATAGAGAGAGAGAGAGAGAGAGAGCAAGGGAGGGGCAGAGAGAGAGAGGGAGACACAGAATCCAAAGCAGGCTCTGAGCTTTCAGCACAGAGGCTGACATGGGACCGAACCCACAAACTGTGAGATCATGACCTGAGCCAAAGTCAGAAGCTTAACTGGCTGAGCCACCCAGGCGCCCTGAAAGAGAGATATTTTAGATGCAGGGGTTAGTTAGATCAAAGTGACTGGAGTGAATATTTGCATAGAGCCATAGGAAGAGAACTGGGTAAACTGGATCTCAACTGCATAGGGCCTATCATCCTTTTGAACTTGATTTGATTGGCATTTGCATGTGAGTGAAGATGCTGGAGCAGGTAAATGACTGTGAATATTACCATCTTGGGGATTAATATTATAGTAGTGTGTATGTTGAAGGGAAACTCCGAGTGAGCCAATGGAAGAGGGAGGGTACCAAGAGCACAGTCGGAGCTCCGTGTAATGTTGCCAACATAAGGCGACGAGGGCAGGTACTGGGGTTGCAGCAGTGGGAAGAAAGGAAAGGAAAAGATGCCAAAAGGGCACAGAAAGGAAGGAAGCAGCAAAAGGCTACAAAATAAGGGTGAACAAGATAAGGGAATGAGGCAGAGAAAGAGGACAAAGTCAGCCTGTGTGACTCCAAGAGTGAAAGCACCATTGGCAGAAATAAGGTGTCTAGGACAGTGCTAGTCAGAATGTACGTTACTGTATTTCACATTTGGAATTTGGCTTTTCATGTATGTCGTTCGTACGATAACTCCACCAACGAAGCTATTTGATGAACTAGACACTTCATTCCTTGATCATGCCAGGTATGAAAGAGCTTACTATATGCAAGACTATTCATACTGACATCAGCAAGAGGTATAGAGGGATACTTACTCTGCAAAGAAACCAGTTAGCTCTTTGCTTTGTAGGACACCATTCTGGGACTCTGACGCCGGTAAGTAAGGAGTTCACCTGTGCTTTCTTCGGTTGCTGGACCTCCGGGGAAGAAAGTACAGTGGCTGAGAGAGGAATGAGCTTGACCACCATCCAGCCCCCCGGAGACTTTCAAAGCTGGCTAATTATTCCTGGGAACTTAGTTGAAGACGGTTCCGTCTTTCCTGGGGAGATATCTGGGTGGGTGGACGAGCTAAGGACAATCAAAGGGAGCTCCATAATGAAGGCATCTGGTGCATATGTAGAGATGTGCTCTCAGCCAGGTTCCTATTCTTTACACAGTGACTCCGAGCTCTACTTCACACAAGGGGACAACAGAATTGGAGGAAAATATTGGAAGGCTCAGTATATGGAGTATGTTGATGCAACTTTTACTCGAAGAAAGAGACTCTCTGAGGCAGAAGCCCATCTTGGAATTCTTGGTAGAATAAAACCATCTGTCATGTTTTGAATGGGGGGAGATGCTTTAGTGGGGCATATATGTCTACGTGGAATGACTCTTCCTCTCCTACCTATATTCACTTCTCTCTGCCTCTTTTCATCCTCTTCTCCCTCCTCCTCTTGATATTTTTCAGGCCCCGTCATCAGGGCTGAGGTGGGTGATACCCTGTTAGTGACCTTTGCCAACAAAGCCGACAAAGTCTACAGTATTTTGCCTCATGGCGTCATCTATGACAAGGCCTCTGATGCAGCCCCGAACGTAGATGGTGAGTCTCAGCCTGGCCTCTGGGAAGAAAGAAGATGAGTAAACAGAGGACTTAGAAGTGGGTAGATTTGGTTCAAGTCCTGGTCCTTTTCCTTACCGGCCCTGTGAGCTTGTGCCATCATTTAAACTTTCTGAACTTTATTCTTCTCCCCTACTGAGGCAGGTAGTGACACTCACCTCACAGGGCTTCAGGACGAGCTGGAGAGAATTCAGGGCAGGGTCTGCCCCGCAGTAGGCACTTAGGAGATGTTGATGCCTTTCCTTCTCCTTCAGCAATGTAATAAATCTCAACGTGGGCTACGTTCACAGTCACTCCCACTACCCTGAGATGGAGAGATTTTTAGCCACGGGTTGTGGGGGATTCTGTGGGTGAAGGCTGAGGAGAAAATATGATTTCCAATGTTTGGTTGTCTTCAAAATCTTACACATGGTCTTTGTTCTGTGTCTGTTGACAAATATTTATTAAAACCAGTCTTTTATGCCTACCATCATATATGGCCTCTCCTCATTACAGAGGAAGTAATAGAGATTCTACATATAAGAAAGGCAGTTTCTGCCCAGTGGCTGCAGGAACTATCTTCCACTCATGATATTGCTCTTGGGAAACTCCTGATATCTTTGGAAGCCTTCCCCATTCTGGCAACAGACATCATGAGTTCTGGGATACTTCTTTGTGCCCAATGATGGGGCTAGGCCCAGTCCAGAGCAGGTGTGAGGTGATGGGGAGGGAACAGAGAAGGAAGGAACGGAGGGAGAATTCCCCCTCCTCAGACCCATCATCACTCTCCCCACCTGGAGCATCATCTCTTGTACCTGCACTTCCTTGGTCAAATGGTCACAAACACTGTGTGTGTGTGTGTGTGTGTGTGTGTGTGTGTGCGTGCGCGCGCGCGCGCGCCCAGAAAGAACACCGGTGATAGCCCAAATGTCTATATTTTCTATTGTTTAACTTAGCAAACTTATTGGGCACCTTTTTGCAAAACTCTGAACAATATGCAGAGAGTTTCTGACCTCAGTCTAGCTGGAGAGACTCAACGTGTTCATTTAGCAATATAGTATGCAGGGTGAGTGCAAAGTCTTGGGAACCAGACAGTGCTGAGTTTGAATCCCAGATCTGTCACTCATCAGCCTTGTCACCTTGAGTATTCACCTACCTCCTCTATCTTATGATTATGTGGGGTTATTTTCTAGTTCAACCTTCTAGATTTCAAATTCTATTTTTTTAAAGATTTTTTTTTTGCATTTCCTTTTTTTAGTGTTTATTTATTTTTGAGAGAGAGAGGCGGGGGGGGGGCAGAGAGAGAGAGGGAGACAGAATCCCAAGCAGGCTCCCTGCTGTCAACACAGAGCCCTAGGTGCAGCTCCAGCTCACAAAGCTGTGAGATAATGACCTGAGCCGAAATCAAGAGTCAGACGCTTAACCTACTGAGCCACCCAGGCACCTCAAGATTTCCAACTCTTTAAAGTGAGGTCTCTTGCTTAACTTTCTGGGATATCCTCGTAGTGCCAACTTTAATATATTCCACATACAAAGGCGCTCAATGATATTTTATAGATTTACATTTAATTGTGAAATAGGCAACTGTCACTCTTTTAATATTTGCTAAACCTAGTATTTGAGTAAGAAATAACATCTATGAAGGTACTAAATGTAATCTCTGAAGAAGATCACCCTTTGATCCAAACTTCTCTCTCATAAAACATCAGACTGTGGCAGTGGTCTCCCTGGTAGCATACACACGTGGGAACAACTGTCCTTCTACAAAATACATCATCAGAGAGAGACCCAGGGCTGGAAGACCCAGTCCAACAAGTTTAATGTCGTTGGCTCTGGCTTTGAGTAACTTTCATTTACCTCCTCAGGATTTCTGAAACCAGGGGCACATGTTAAGCCGGGTGAAACCTTCACATACAAATGGACGGTGCCTGAAAGTGTAAGCCCGACAGCCAGTGATCCCCCCTGTCTGACCTACCTTTACTTCTCAGCGGTTAAGCCAATCCAGGACACCAGCTCTGGCCTTGTGGGGCCCTTGCTAGTCTGTAAAAAGGGCGTTCTCAATGCTGATGGGACACAGGTAGGCCATCAAAGATCACCAAGTTCTTCTCAGGGTTGTATGTGGGAGACACCAGGAATATGGCTAGGGATTAAATAGTAATAAAAGGTCAGGTACGAAAAGCAATGCTTCCTCCACCCTCTTAATATTGATTTCTACATAATGAGTAATTTATTTTATTTTTTTGTAAATTTAAGATCTGAATTTAAATTTAATGTAATCTTAATGTAAAGTTAAGATCTAAAACTTACAGATGCCCACCCAGAAATCCAGGATTTCTGCTCGTTGCGGATGGGATTCAGTGGGTCCCTTTCCCTGTGCATTGTTTTGATTCTAGAATCTTCGGAGGTCCACATGGAATGTGAATTGAGGCCCTTTCTTCTTGGACGACGCTTCTCAGACTTGGCCACGTGGGGAACCTTTTAAACATCTTTTATTCAGGCACTCCAGACCAATTAAATCAGAATCTGCAGGGGCTCTCCAATGTGCAACCAAGGCTGAGAACCACTGTAACTCACCGCTGTAAGCCGAAAGTTAATCGTTAGGGTCGAAGGCACAAGAAAGCATGTAGATAAATTCTTACAAGTCCCACCTTTGAGGCTCCCCTGGTTGCACTGACTAGTGTGGCACGGCACAGCACTTCAAGCTATGTCCACATGATATTAAACACACTGATGAGAAGAGGCAAATCTAATCATGTAACCATTGTGGTTTACTTCACCAATCAGAAATAGCAAGACTATTTATTTAAATGGTATATTATATGATGTTTGGCATTGTAAGCACCCACTTCTGGACTCAACGGGATTTCTAGGTAGAGGACACAAAGTGTCTCGGTCCGCCTCAGACTTGTACTTCCCTGCACAAAGTTCCAACCCTAGAAATGTCTATTAGAGGCTGTGTCCCTGGCCCTCGGAATTGGCCCTCAGTAACGCACGTGCAATAAGACTGAATACAGTTGCACTGTACAACAAGAATCATATAGGGCAAAGCAGAATGACTATCCCTATTTTTTAACTAAGATGTTTATTTATTTATTTGGAGAGACAGAGAGAGAGCATGCATGCGTGCACAAGTGGGGGAGGGGCAGAGAGAGAGGGAGAGAGCGAATCTCAAGCAGGCTCCGCGTTCAGCACGGAGCCCAAAACGGGGCTTGCTCTCACAACCGTGAGATCATGACCCGAGCCGAAATCAAGAGTTGGCAGTTTAACCGACTAAGCCACCCATTGCCCTAAGGATCCCTCTTTTTTTTTTTTTTTTTTTTAATTTTTTTTTCAACGTTTATTTATTTCTGGGACAGAGAGAGACAGAGCATGAACAGGGGAGGGGCAGAGAGAGAGGGAGACACAGAATCGGAAACAGGCTCCAGGCTCTGAGCCATCAGCCCAGAGCCCGACGCGGGGCTCGAACTCACGGACCGCGAGATCGTGACCTGGCTGAAGTCGGACGCTTAACCGACTGCGCCACCCAGGCGCCCCAGGATCCCTCTTTTAAAGCTGAAGAAACTGAGGTTCAGAGACAGTGAGTGACATCCCAAGAGACACCCCTAGTAAGTAGTGAAACTCGGCAGTAGAACGCGGGACTTTGAGCTTCCAACTTTGTTTTTGTTTTTGTTTTTGTTTTCCAAGACACCACCCTGCTTCCTCTAGCTCAATACTGAGCCCAGGAAATTGAGTGCCAAAAAACTTGTGTAAGGAGGCCCTGATTTTCCCCCAACTGCATCTATTTAATGGTGGCTTGAACGCTTGCTAGAAGCACCTTATGGTACGTGGGGGGTTGTTGCCTGAGCCAAACACTATTCGCGGCCAATCCATTTCCACCAAGTTCATGAAAAAATTAACCGTAACCCGAAATACACCTTACTTGGGATTTGGCCGAGCGAGGAGTCCATTTGGCCAGACAGAAAGTTATTTTCAACGCAAAAAATACTTAGGAAATGCATACTGAACCAGGCCCTCTATAGGTAAAAGCTTACGTCTCTCCTAGGTAGGTAGGTAGAGAACATAAAAGGTGTTTTCAACTCTTTCCAGTAAATTCTCCCAGAGGTGAATGGTTGTCACAGAATCTAACCAGGTGCTATAGGGCCCTTTCTAACATGGATGACCTTCTGCAACAGCCACTTAAACTCCCTGTTTGTCTATCCAGCCGTTTATACCGCCCTTATATTTTTTTATTTTGAGTAATTCAGTTTCAGATTTATGTAAAAGTTGCAAAGAAAAAAAACCCACAAAGAATTCCCATATATCCTTCGCTCAGATTGCCCAAATGTAAACATTTTATCTCATTTGCTTTCTTAGGCTTCTCTTTATTTTTCTGGGTTTTGTTCCCCTAAACTATTTGAGGTAGGTTATAGACATGACGTCTCTTCAATGTGTTTCCTAAAAGCAAGGTCACTTTCGGACATAAACACAATGTAATTATCCAAGTCAGGAAATTAACCTTGATACTGTACTATTATCAAAGCTGAGTACCCTTTAAAATTTTTCTGTCTTTATCCTTTATAATAAAAGGAAAACATGTTTTTCCTCGACCAGGCTCTGGTCTACATCATGCATCATCTCTTCAAGCCCCTCTTTCTCCTGTGATCGGTTTCATCACAGGGAAGCAAGTGTGACTTTTTTTTCTTTAAAAAAATTTTTTTTAATGTTTATTTTTGAGAGAGAGAGAGAGAGAGAGAGTGTGAGTTGGGGAGGTGCAGAGAGAGAGGGAGACACAGAACTCAAAGCAGGCCCCAGGCTCCGAACTGTCAGCACAGAGCCTGACACGGGGCTCGAACTCACAGACTCACGGACCGTGCGATCATGACCGGAGCCAAAGTCGGTCGCCCAACCGACTGAGCCACCCAGGCGCCCCACAAGTGGGACTTTTCTAAAATGCAAACAAGGTCACGTAATATCCATGTTAAACACCCTCCAGTGACTTCCTATCACACTTGGCATAAAAATCTACATTTCTTAGCCTAGACCTATGTCCCCCGGCCTCCAACTCCTTTGATGTATCTCACACACACCCTCATGCCTACTTATACTCCATCCACATAAGCCTTCCTGTTCCTTGAACAGGCCAAGCTTATCCTTGGCTTAGGGCCTCCTTACTAGGCTCCCTCTGCCTGACATGCCTTCTTCTGACCTTTGCGTGGCTGGCTCTTCCTGTCACCTCCTTAGAAAAGTCTTCCCTGATCACCAAGCTAAAGTCATATGCTATTACATGACCCGATTTTAATATCACTTACCACCAGAGGACATTTTCTTTGTTTACTTTTGATGTGTTATAGAACGTTTCTCCTCACAAGAGTGTGAGTACCATGGAGCAGGACACTGGTCTGTCTTATCTTCCTTTCCCAGAACAATGCCTGGTGCATTGTTGACACTCGACCAATATTATGGTTGATGAATGAAATACAGGGTAAGCATTCTTATCTTCAAAGTCATTATTAAGAAGTTTAGTTAACAAAAGGGCCACATTACACACACACTCAAACACTCCATGTGTGGCCTGCAAATAGACACTAAAAATTCCAGGACAGGCTTATTTGCCAAACTCCCCACATCCACGTTTTAAACACTCAGAGTTGTGTGAAGGACCATGGTTCAGACATCCCAGCTTCCCTACTGCTGTGGGAACCTAAAACATAGTGATGTTAAGTGCTTTTCACAGAATAGCTTTGTGCTGCAGACGCTAGCCATCACTCAGGTACATTCCATGCATGAGTGCAGGTTGGATTAATCCAAGTTCTCCAACGAAACAGAACCATAAGGATGTGTATGCAGACAGAAGCAGACTTATTATAAGGAGTTTGCTCACATGATTATGGGGGTTGACAATTTCCAGGACCTGCAGGGAGAGTCGGCAAGCAAGAGACCCAGGAGACACAAAAGTCCAGAGGGCTCAAAGCCTTTGGAAGAGCCTCTGTTTGAGTTTGAGTCTGAAGGCAGAAAAAAGTCAATGTTCCACTTCAAAGACAGGAAGAATTCTCTTTTACTTTTTGTTCTATTGAGTCTTTCAACTGATTGGATGTGGCGCACCCACACTGGAGAGGGCGATGTGCTTTGCTCGTCTACCATTTAAATGTTTGCTCATCTACCATTTAAATGTTAATCTCATCCAAATACACCTTCATAGAAACACCCAGAATAATGCTTGACCTAATATTTGGGCAACTATGGCCCAGTCAGGTTGACACATAAAATGAACCTTCACGTGGGTTATCACCATGTGGTATCACCTACTTTCTAACCTTTTCCTGGGTTAATTTCCCACCCTCATAGACCTAGTTACCTTCCAACTGACTCTCAGGTGATGAGGTTCTTCAACTCAATGCCTTTCAGTCATTCCTTCTTGTCTTATGGACAGTTGCAATTGCAGCTAATAGTCACGATTAACATTGAACACTTAGTATCTGCCAGATGTTGTCTTGAGTGCTTTACCTATATTATCTATTTTAACCTTCACACACACACACACACACACACACACACACACACACAAAACCCCAGGAAGTGGAGACTACTCTTATTCTCATTTTTCAAATGAAGGAATTAGAGCTTAGAGAGAATAAATCACTTGCCCCAGTTTTCACAATGGATGTGCAGAATAACATTAGCACCCATAGCCCATAATCTTTTAAAATATCTTTGACCTCTTATTTCTCTCTAATTCTTCATATTTTCCTTTAAACATTGCAAGCCTACATCATTTCTTTTCATATCCCATGATCTTAAACTACTGCCTGCTGAAACACCATGTGATAAAAGCAGTAGGTGCATATAAGATATGGTGTGAGAATAAAGCAAAGGGCACCCACATCTCTGATGATGCATTAGGAAAACATCACAGAGGTGATGCTTTGGGGTGGCATACCTTCAAGTTGAAGGGATGCATGCACGAAGGCCTACGGAACACAGCAAGTTCAGATCGCTGCAAGGGGCTTGGCCTCACTTTGGTCAAAGTGCCAAGAGGGAAGGGCTAAGAGCAGGTAAGCAACAACGAGATCACTGTGAGTTTAGACTGTATTGTCCAGTTTCAGAAGGAGAGAGATGTGATCTGTGGCAGTTCTGGGGATTCCTCCAGAGCAGGCAGCGGGTTAAAGGGTGAGTTGGAGGGGAGTACATTAGACATAGGAAGATGGTTGAGGGACATAAAATACAGTCACCTCTCTGGTTCAGCTTTAAAGAAAAGCATATTTCGGCAATGTAGGATGTTGTGTGTTGCGTGACATGCTCGGACAGATAGATTAGGAATATACACAGTGGGAAGTAATCCATGGTGCCCTCCATTTCAACTTACATTAACGTAATTTAGCAAAGTCTGATGGGTTATGTGAATTCATTATTTCACTCAAAAACATGTAGAGTGCCTGCTTTTCCAGACATTATTTTTATTTTATTTTATTTTATTTTATTTTATTTTATTTTATTTTATTTTATTTTATTTTATAAGTTGATTTATTTTGAGAGACAGATGATGCGGTTGGGGGGGGGGGCGGGCAGAGAGAAAGGGAAACAGAGAATCCCAAGCAGGCTGCATGCTGTCAGCACAGAGCCCAACACAGGGCTTGAACTCATGAACCACGAGATCATGCCCCAAGCCAAGACCAAGAGTGGAATGCTTAACCAGCTGAGCCATCCAGGCCTCTCTCTAGGCATTTTTTTTTAAAGCCGGGGACACAGAGAGGAACCCAAAACTTCCCTACTCTCACAAAGCTACAATGCAATGGGACAACACTAAAAAAATGTAAGTTCACAAATGAAATATAATTGCAGGTGGAGTTAAGTACTATAAAGAAGAGTGAGTTGGGGGTAAGTGAGGTGAGTTTGCAGGCGGGGTGGATGCTAGGTGACTGTTTTAGACAGGGTGGTCAGGAAAGGGTACTTGAGGTGACATTCGTGCAGAGAACTGAATGGAGTAAGGGAGTGAGCCAGGAAAGACCCGGGAGAACCTTCTAGGCAATGGGAACAGCACATGAAAAGTCCCTGAGGCAGGAGTGAAGTTGGTGTGTTCACAGAAGAGCAAAAGGCCGGGGTGGCTGGAGTAAATGAGGGGTGAGTACAAGGAGATGAAGTCAGAGAGAGAGACAGCCCAGGGCATGGAGGCCCTGGGAAGGAGAATAAGATAGTGATGACCAGACTGAAAATAGGAGTCCCACAGTGTAGGGAAGCTTCTGAGCAAGGACCTATTTCCTCTGAGCAGATCTCATGGGGAGGGATAAGGATATAAACAGAAAGCTGAAACGTTAGGGTGTAAAATGAATTGATCAGAATCATGCTCAGAATCCTGATTTACAAAATGACCCAACTCACGTTGGTCCTAATTTATTTGTGTTCACGTTGAAAGTGAAGTAGAGATTAGAATTCCTCCAAGCTGTACTTTTTATACAGTTATGTTCTTCTTCTCTTTAGAGAGGAATCGACAAGGAATTTTATCTACTATTTACAGTCTTTGATGAGAATCTGAGCAGGTATCTTGATGAAAACATTCAGAGGTTTACATGGCGTCCCTTCAGTGTTGACAAAGAAGACAAAGATTTTGTGAAGTCCAACCGAATGCATGGTATGAAAAGTGTCTTTCTCTTCTGTAAGGATTTGAAGTGAAAATATTTGGAATGTTTAACTATCTTGATTTTGGTTTCTTGGACATTGTTCTTGGTCAAGAGTAAATTGTTTCATGACTTCATCTCACAAGGTCTGGTGAAACCTCCTACCTCCCGGGGACGTTGTGCAACTTAATTAATACTTCTGAAATACTTCATCAGCTTTAGATGAAGCAACACAAAATATGAACCAGCAAAGACTGCAGTACTTTATAAATGTAGAAAATGACTGACAAAATGCCCTCCCTTGGGTTCGTAATAACATCATTGAGGCTAATAATCCAAGTGATAATTGGAGATAATCATTAAACAACAAAGTGTCTCATCAAGTTGCATGAAGAACTGTCTAACGTGATAATGTGTAAAATACTAGCGAATTCCCATCCCAGATCTTATTTAAAAGGAATTACTTAATTCTCCTTCTCTTTCTTATATCAGTTGTAACAGTGGCAAACCACCTCATAATTGGCGTGACTTAACACAGGAGTCTCGTTAGTCTTAGACACACTACCCTAGATGGCAGAATAGTGAGCGAGAGCCCAATCCCAAATAACTATGAGAGCGTGCAGTCAAAAAGGAGCTGAAAGCAAGCATTGTAAGATAACACGTGCTAAATTGCTTGTTTTAGGACCAAGGACAACATCTATTTATTGTTTTCAAAACATTATAGGAGAATAACAAAATAGACCCTAATCTCCTTTCCCCACAAGGAGGTCAAGAAAGTCCAAGGTTCCAAGTGACCCACAGCAACCAGCTCACGGACTCCTATGGTCCTGGATACTCCATGCCAACAGTCTCCTCTTGGACCAATGGAAAGCATAGAGTAACGCATTTTCAGTACCATTTTCTACAAAATGTTTGTTATAACTGAATCATGAAATTTGTTTCCCACCCTCCTAGCAGCCAAAAAATAAAAAAATAAAAAAGAAGAAGAAAGTAGAATGAGGAAACATAGCAATTCCTTAGTGGAGAAGCTAAGTCGCAAAAGAAACTTATCCTAAGAGAGGCCCTTAGGATAAAGGATAAAGAGAAAAGATAAAACAACCCAACAGACCACATCACATCCAGCTTCATCCTGATTTGGCAATGTAATATACACTTTCATATTTTCGACATGGAGAGTACGTCATCTTTAAAACAAAATGCAAGGAAAACAATGTATTTTAATTTAAATTTTACATTAATTATGAATTAAATTCTATCTCCAGTCTTGCTTGCATGGAGTATGAGAGACAATGACGGCAACAATACCAAAGAAACAGTGCCTCTCGTGTTACCCAGTGCCTTGCATTACACCTATTATGTGGTCTATATGAAAAGATGTGGACCTCCTTTCCTAGAGGGCATCCTCGACAGCTTGTGAGCTATCCTTGGGGGTCTTTTCTGATGAAAAAGAGGCATACCTACAGTAGTTCTTGGGTTAGTCAACAAATATCATCTGGGTTAGAGGACAAGTCTACACGAGAAGGCAGAACAGTATAACTTCTTTACCAGACCTTACCATGGGCTTTGACTACCTTTATCTGACACTATAACCAGCAATGACATCACTCTTTCAATAAATTTTTAGAGTACTGTTAAACAAGCAAACAAACAAAGGTGTTTGTTGAATGCATGAATGAATGTTCCAGAAAGAGAGAATTTAAACTAGAGTTCCAAGGCAAGAGAAGATTCTCTACGGGCCAGTCAAGGACTAAATCATTAGTACCCCAATTTACAATATCACTTTAACATTCAATGGGCAGGATTTACATAATTTATTTGCAAAGGTATTATCAAAGATTTTTTTTCAGAAAATGCAATGTTCTCAAAGCATCCTTCTTAGATTTTCTGCTAATAATCTCAGATATTTGAGTAAAATTACCAAGCACCATTGGTTCTGCAGACACAGAAATAAAAAGCAATTTTATCTGGCAATGGGATTATAACAGAAGGTCACTTAGGTGTGTGATAGTTGTTCTTTCCTACTATGGGCATTAGTAAGAAGTGGGAGAGGATAGAATCTTTATCTCTCTACGGGGCATCACGCATAAGACATGTGTGGTCACCCCTCAAACAGTGCTATTCAGTTAATGCATTCATCCCACACAGAGTGGGGTTCATCCCACACAGATGTGGTTTCTAAATTCTTTTCAAGACACTGCTCCAGGGAGCCACTATCAATGGATCGAGGTTGATATAAAAGAGAAAAACACTTTTCATTTCTGGAGATTCAGAAGGTCTTCATATCTAAGTAACCATTATTCAAATTTCCTTCAGTTATTTTACTGAGGCAGGGAAATAAAACTTACCAAAAGGCAAAATTATTTAATCAAAGGCTAGTCTCTTATAGACTTAGCATCCTTCTCCCTCCCCACCCCGCCTCAAAACAATCCCTCTTCGGGGCGCCTGGGTGGCGCAGTCGGTTAAGCGTCCGACTTCAGCCAGGTCACAATCTCGCGGTCCGTGAGTTCGAGCCCCGCGTCGGGCTCTGGGCTGATGGCTCAGAGCCTGGAGCCTGTTTCCGATTCTGTGTCTCCCTCTCTCTCTGCCCCTCCCCCGTTCATGCTCTGTCTCTCTCTGTCCCAAAAATAAATAAACGTTGAAAAAAAAAAACAAAAAAAAAAAAAACAAAAAACAATCCCTCTTCACTGACCAGACGTGCAAATACAATGTCAATCAATTGCAAATCTTTCAAATGACGCCAGTTCCATGAAATCAGTAATGAGATGTCTGATAACTTCTGGAATCAAATGTAAATCCATTGGCAAATGAAAATCTGATGAAATTAAGTGAATTAATGACCGAAGAAGAGACACTTAAGGGAGATAACAGAATAAGAACCTCAGAAGAAAGTGATTTTCAAATCACGAGTTTGGGGGAAAATGGCGAAGTCCATAAATATTTTCACAAGGACGATGCTCTTTATAATCTGCAAAACTAAAATGTGAAATGAAGGATATTGTATTACACTGTCAAACAATTTTGTCAGAAAAACTTATGCCAGAAAACAACCTGATTTGTTCCTTATCGATTCTTAGGGTTTGTGCCCTTGTGTATACATTGTTACACATAATATTTTCACAATTTTAGTATATTTTCATTATTCATTGTTCCTCTTAGTCTCCATTTTGGATTGAGTCACTGTGTGACTTTTCTCTAGTGTGTTTACTCTCTGGTAGTAAGGATCTTCTGTAAATAGTTTGAACTTGAGCAATTGAACAGACTGCCCCCACACACTGATAATCTTGTACTAAAATGGTGTGTTTTCTGTATCTATAAAATCGTACTGGGCTCTGACTATCTTTTTCCTTTCATTTAGCTATTAATGGCTATATGTATGGCAACCAGCCAGGCCTAAGCATGTGCAAAAAGGATAGAGTTTCCTGGCATATGATTGGAATGGGCACCGACACTGATATGCACGGAGTTTATTTTCAAGGGAACACCATCCACCTACGAGGAACTCATCGTGACACCCTGGCCCTGTTTCCCCATACCTCCACAACGGTGTTCATGCAGCCAGACCATGCAGGTAAACTCGGCAGGGCCACCGCAGGTGACCAAATTACTGTCTTCAGGCATATACCCTTAGCGTCCTCCCCTGGAATAAACTGGTTGAATTTGGGCACTTCAGAGGATGTAGCAAGACATACAGTCTTGGTTACAATCAGATAATCCTAACTATTTTATTCCAAACACACAGTACAAAGGACAGAGGAGAAGCATCTAAAACGACGTAAAGCATCTAAAATAACACAAAGAAGAAGTCCCCTAAATGACCTTGCCACACAAATCTTGGGAGAATGCCCTTGATTCATTCCTAGGAATGATTCAGCCCCAAGAAAGAGGGTATTTCTTGTTCTCCTGAAGCACAGACATTTTAGTTGCTGCTCTGAAGCATCGACCAGGTATAGACAGCCCAGTGGATGCTTCCAGGTGATAGACATGAGCTTCTTTAGAGACTGATAAGTTACTTGGAGACGTCTCCATTTTCATTCTGTTGGGCACCATTAGTTTCCCTGGAGGGTAAGCTGCACTGGGTCAGAAGTCCACCGAGGGCCCATTGAAGGGCCAGCACTCATCCCTTCTCTTAGACATTTCCAAGCTAATTGGATAATTGGGGCATTTTTATACAAGATTCAGAGCAACACATGGCTCGTTTGAAAAATAAGATAGCCAGTGCCATGGGCATTCAAAATGTTTCTCCAACCCAACTTTTTCATTAGTCTTAAAACGAAACCAATATACTACCCAAGATGAGTACTTGTTGGCTCTGTCTTCTTTATGAATTAGTGTCTACTTTGCTTCGCACTAGAAGTACAGTTTAGATGCCTCTCAGTGTCATTGGTTAAACACTTAGGGCTTGTGCTTCAAAACTTTTGCCCAAGAACTGCCTGAAATTAGGAGTTCCATAACCCGTGCATTATAGACTTTGAGTATTCTACCTTTCTACATTAGTATAATTGATCAGTTATGAATCACCCAAACCAAGGAATGCCTTGAGCACAATGATTTTTGTTTTTGTTTTTTAAATATGCTCTTCGACACTGAAGATGGGAGAGGAGGGAAACAGCCAGATTTAATACACAGAAATAGAAACTGGCATTCAAAGCTGCAGTTGGCTGCAATAATTTTAGAGACTTGGTTAATTATTCTAATGCTTTGGGTATTACACATGTGCCCTACGAGCTTCCAAACTGCTTATGACAATGTTTTCCAGTTTATGTTTTGTGGTGAGTATAAATCTGTGACTGCTTAACAGCTTGGTCATTTGGCCAAAATATGAGTAGACGCTAGGCTTCGACTCACATTTTTTTGTCTTTGTTCTTTTTTCTAAAAACCACATTATTGAGATATGACTGATAGATAAAAAGTTGTTGATATTTAATACATACAAATCAATGAGTTCGTTAGGCGTCTTGTCATGTGTCTGTTGGCCATCTATATGTCTTCTTTGGAGAAATGTCTATTCATGGACATTTTTAAAATTTTTTTTTTTCAACATTTATTTATTTTTGGGACGGAGAGAGACAGAGCATGAACAGGGGAGGGGCAGAGAGAGAGGGAGACACAGAATCAGAAACAGGCTCCAGGCTCCGAGCCATCAGCCCAGAGCCCGACGCGGGGCTCGAACTCCCGGCCCGTGAGATCGTGACCTGGCTGAAGTCGGACGCTTAACCGACTGCGCCACCCAGGCGCCCCTCATGGACATTTTTTCATTGGATCATTTGCTTTTTGATTATTGAGTTGTATCAGTTCATTATATTTTCTGGATACTAACCCTTTATTGGATATGTCATTTGCAAATATTTCTCTCATTCAATAGGTTGCCTTTTAGTTTTGTTGATTGCGTCTTTCACTGTGCAGAAACTTTTTATTGTAATGTAGTCCCAATAGTTTATTTTTGCTTTTATTTCCCTTCCCTCAGGAGACAAATCTAGAAAAATGTTGCTATGGCCGACGTCAGAAAGATTACTGCCTGCGCTCTCTCTCCAAGAATTTTTATGGGTTCAGGTCTCACATTTAAGCCTTTAATCCATTTTGAATTTATTTTTGTGTATGGTGGAAGACGGTGGCCCAGTTTCATTCTTTTGCATGTAGCTGTACCAGTTTTCCCAACACCATTTGTTGAAGAGACTTTTTCCCATTGTATATTAATTCCTCCTTTGTTGAGGATTAATTGACATGATTAATTGTTGAGGATAATTGATATAATTGATACAATTAATATAATTGTGGGTTCATTTCTGGGGTTTTCATTCAATTCCATGATCTATGTGTCTACTTTTATGCCAGTACCATACTGTTTTAATTACTACTGGTTTGCAATACAACTTGAAATCTGGAATTGAGATCCCTCCAGTTTTTTCTTTTTCATGATTGCTTTGGCCTTTTGAGGTCTTTTGCGGTTTCATACAAATTTTAGGACCGTTCGTTCTTGTTTTGTGAAAAATGCTGTTGGTATTTTGATGGAGATTACATTAAATGTGTAGATTGCTTTGGGTAGTACAGACATTTTAACAATATTTGTTCTTCCAACCCATGAGCATGGAATGTCTTTTCATCTCTTTGCGTCATCTTGAATTTCTTTCATCACTGTTTTATAGTTTTCAAGTACATGTCTTTCACCTTGTTAGTTAAGTTTAGTTCTAGATAGTTACTGTTTTGGGTGCAATCGTAAATGGGATTGTTCTCTTCATTTCCTTTTCTGCTGCTTCAATATCAGTGTGTAGAAATGCAACAGATTTCTTCACATTGATTTTGTATCCTGTGACTTTACTGAATTCATTTATCAGTTCTAGTAGTTTTTGGGGGGGAGTCTTTACAGTTTGCAAATTAAAACCACCATGAGATGTCACTTCACACCTGTCAGAATGGCTAAAATCAAAAACATAACAAACAATAAGTGTTGGTGAATGTATGGAGAAAAAGGAACTCTTGTGCACTGATGGGGGGATGCAAACTGGTGTAGACACTGTGGAAGACAGTCTGGAGGTTCCTCAAAAAATTAAAGCTAGAACTACTCTATGATCCAGGAATTGCACTACTGGGTGTTTACCACCCCCCCCCCCC